ACATGACAAACAATAATAACAAAAGTAAGAAAGAGTATCTCGGCAAGAATAAGGTGTTAGTTATATGTATATGTATGATTTGCTGAGTACTTTATGATATTATGATATTAAAAGTAAGAAAGTTTACAAAAAATTAACACAGCCATTAAAAAAGTATCACTAATTGTGCTATGGTTTTATCAAGCAAATTAGAGATCAGTCTTTTTCAACACTACTGGAAACTTTCAGAGAATTATAAAATGATGCATGCATGCTTGGAATGACACCACTTTTACACAAGTCCAGCAAATCTTTCTTCTTTCCAGCATCTATCCCTGGTGGTGAAGAATAAGCTGGGTGCAGCATGACTTTGGCAGATCTACCTCTCATTCTTTGTCGAATGTTTAACTTTTCAAAATCCTCTTGCGCATATGAGTGCTTGTAGAAGATGGTATAAGGATCTTGTTTCATGACTTTAATGATCTTAATATTGGGCCAATTCACTAAATTATTATTTTAATTTTTGGAGAAATTGTTCCCCATTAGTCTTTCAAATTGGAGATATCTGCTGTATCTAGTTCAGTCACATTATAAACACTGGCTTTTTTCTTGGCTAATTTCAGTACTGGTACCCATTGAGCAGGTAGTGTTATTGTCCCACCTTTAACAACTCTTCGTTTTTCATGCTCAATGGTGGAATGCATTGAATCATTCTCATTCTGTGTGTGCCCTTGAATGAGAAATTTTTGAGTAATAGTGTTAATATGGTCTATATTATTTACACAGTATAAAAGTAATGAAGCAATGAATTTATTCTTGTTCTTCCCTGCACAATTATCTGAAAACAAAACTACTTCATTAACTGTATTGGGCAATGAAGTAATGAACTTATAGAGGCATGTTCCAATTTCATTTGTACCTCGTTTGGCCAAGCCTTCATGCCAAAAATAACAGTGGCCCTTACTGTTTGAAATATCATAAATTGTAAAGTTGTAACATGAGAGTTTCCTTTTGTAGTATAAGGAAGACCACTCACCACAATGTGAAGGGAGAACTGCTTGGAGATCAAAGTAGCAAGCAATTTTATTTGTATCCTGTTTTGCTGCTTCAATGTCCTTAGTCTTTTCAGCTCTTGACATTTCTTTTTCTTTTATATGTGTGTTATAATTGTCCTGCAATTGTAATTTCTCTGTATCTGTACTGTTCTTGTATCCAGTTCATATACAACACTGATCTTTTTTCGGCTGATGAAATGAAAGATTAAGTAAATGAAATACCGTTGATTAAATGTGTTTTTTAGCAAGTGGTAATTATTTTTCTCTGAAATAGTCTGTGTATAGCCGATACATTTCACTAATGTTTAAGCTGCCATCTAAAAACTGTTTAGTTGAATTTCTTCTACAATAGTGTGATTCAACATATTCAAAAGACAGTATGTGCTCTTTCACATTCTTTAGTATTTCCTCATCAGTTTTCTTTCTGCTTTCATGTTTTTCCCAGAAGTCATCTTCTATTATTCCATCAGTGGTCTTTGGGTTATATAGATAGATAGATTTACAATGCAAAAGGAGTTGCAACTTTATATGCAACTTTTTTTCACCAAGAATGCAATTAATTGAAAGCTGAAAACTGTTACAACTCAAAATATAAAGTGAAATTAACTAATTTTTTTGGTGTTCGATGCATATTTATTGGCTTATTTTCGTTTCATCCATTATTATTTTTTAAAAACTCTTTCTATCATGTAAAAACAGACATGAAACTTTTTTAAAAGGTCTATTATAAATTTACATAAACTTAGAATGGAACGCTCCTATTGGCGTTCTAGGCATTCCGTTACAGATTTCAGATATACAAACAGAAAAAAAATTGTTGTCAAATTTTGTAATAAGCATTTTTTAAAAAACCGACAAAATATACTTCACTGTATATTCTGTGTAGTATTTCATAAATTTTTTTTAAAAAATTAACGTAAGATCTTATATAACCCTTATAATATCAGAAGATGTTCGACTGGTTGGTGGCTCGTAGGAGCGCGGCAGTCACCTTCGGGTTCCAGGCCCGAAGGTTGTGGGTTCGATCCTATGTATGGGATCCCTTATATAATAAATTATTTTTTTCGATTTTATTAAACTATGATTTTTAATTAATTATCGGAATTTTTATATTCATTATATTTGAAAAATATTTTCAAATATAAGAACAATTAGATTAATTAATTTATTTATAATTATTAATGCTAATACGAGATGGCGCCTAACGCTTTCCTCGAAGGCCAAATTGGTTAAGTAATTCATCTAGTAATTAGCCCTAAATTAGCCCGATAAAATTTCAGCATTTGGTTGGTGTTTAGCTATTTTTAAATATTCATGTACATGTGAGGTTCGTGCATAATTGTTACTTGTTGTAAAAGAAAAGGTATAAACAGTAATAGTAGTTCGGGAGGCCCCCTAGTGGACGGTCTAGCAGCAGCGGTGTCATTAAAGTTTTGTTACACAGTCAATTATCTTACGCAAAAAATAATCGATCGTTGTTAAACATACTGGTACAGTCGACCTCCCTATAACACGGTAGATACGTTCCTGTTTATATGAATCCAGCTTCTAAAAGTTTAGCCAATCACAGCCCGGCACGTATGCAGTTTATGACTACGGCTATTTAAAAGGTTTTTTCCGTAAAATTAATCGATTCTAGACTAATTCGACTCAACATTTCGAAAACACGTATAATCTTTTGAGAATAATTCATATAAACTATGCTATAAACAAACAATTGTAGAATCACCGTTCGACAACGCCGCTGCTTAAGCTTGTTTTCGTCGTGGAGATTGCCATCGGATGGCGCTCGCGCGCTTCCTGATAAATTGTTTTTTTTAGCGAAAAGTTCGCTGAACTTTAGAGACATTATTAAGATTAATTTTACGTTTTTCATTTGTTCAAAAAAAAGGGAACTTGTTTTACTCCGGGCTCAGTATATGTTAGGGGCGTGCCGTGACATATGATGATAGCAGGGCTGTGGAGTCGCGTAAAAATCTACCGACTCCGACTTTTCCTTATCATCCGACTCCGGCTAAAACACCAAAACTCCACGATTCCGACTCCGACTCAACAGCCCTGCCAGGGCTGTGGAAGTCGCGTAGAAATCTACCTACTCCGANTGTCTTTATTACATCTAATACAGTATTTCGAAGAAATCAGTCCCTACTGTACTCGGCTATAGATTGGTTCAGTTAAACTTTTGTTTAAGTAATATTCCGGCTCTTTCATCGGGGTTTTGTTTATGTTCCCAATTCCCTAATCGCTTAATTATTTAACTACTTCTTAAGTAGAAATAAGTCGAAACCAGTTACTTTGTACTCGAATATTTGTAGTCTCGGGGAAAAAGTGGAAAGACAAGTTTTAATGACAAACGGATATATAAATCGTAAATTTAAGGAAAATAAATTCTAGAGCTTTTTCTGTACCTCGTGCATCTCTCTCATTCATTAAATTTAGTTGTAAATGACGCTGTCGAAGAAACGGTTAATTTTTTTAACATTATACGAGAATTGCACACGTTTTTTTCTACATCCCCTTAAAAATGGGACATACGAAATCGTAATATCACCTGTTTAACATCGAAATCCGTGAGTAATATAAAATCGGAGAGCGGAATAAATATATCAAATATTTTAATAGATTTTTTAAACTTCTGTCAACTATACAGAACTATCGCAAAAACATACCAGTAAATTCTTATCGGTTGGGTTAAGTTATAAATATACTCGTTATTCACGTAATCGGCCAAATATCTAGCGGGCGGGCGGCTAACAGCCCAGAACCGGTCCCGGATAGAACTGGAAGCTTTATATATGTAGCATCGACCCAAGGTCGTAGGCTTCCACCGGCTAAACCGGGTGAGGTTGGTGCTCCGTAAAGCGCGTGCGCGAATCTGGCTTTTTGGAATCTGACAATACAGAGATTCCACTCCGCCACTAATATTCGAATATACAATAGCAATCTTATTTATTTTTTTGTCACGTATAGTATAGAAATTTGTAATAAGATACGTAATGCGGTTATAATAAAATATTGTGCGATTATTTTCATATAATTAAAATTAATATGTATTTATATTTTAGAAAATACAAGGGAAGCGGTGCTTCCACCGCTTCTAATGACGGCACGCCACTGGTATATGCTGTCGACCCCGTTCAGATTCAGTGGCACTTGAATTAGGTTAATCTAGTCATTCACTATTCGCGAAAACACGAATTTGCATATAATATGAATACAGAACCCTGTTGTAATCATATTTTATCTAGATATATTTCGAAATAGCCGAGAGTGAATTCAAGGATACAAGTAGCTTTTTCCTGTGGGCACTAAAAGGGCCTTCTAGCAAGCCCATTACGGATTCGGCCAGGCTGACAATGGATCGGCTCCAGACGGATTACCTTCGAAAAATTCCTGATGTTTTTCGTCCACCCAGTTCGATCTCGGGTCCCGAGAATGGTAGGATGACATCTTAACCACTCGGCCATCCGACTGTCATTATATGTGACTAGAACGTAATGCTAGTACATTATTTCTGCGGGATCAAGGAGTCCATAAATTCATAACATAAATTAGAAGAACATTAATCCTTTTACACATCATTATTACGTATAGTATTTTGTGTATCGGTAATAAATTTTGAAAAATCAAAAATCAATACACCAATGCTTGAAAATACTGTATTTACGTACTGCTAGCTAAATAAAAAATAAATTGTTTCGATAGATATTTAAAAAATGAAATTTGATATCTTTGTCTTTAATTGTTTCAAGGGAATCTTAATAAAATATACAAAAAATTAATTTAAATTTTTATTTATACCGTGTGCTACAGTATGCAATTTACAAACGATTTATTAAATCTGTTTACTTTTATAATTTAAAAAGTTTTACTTTTAATAATAAATAAAGATAAGAAATTAATATTAGTATATAATCATATAACTTAAAAAAAATTAATAGATAATTAATCACGTTTATACTCAAGCAGAGGGAGTAAGAAATTCAAGATGGCTTCTACTTCAAGTTCTGGTAGAAGTCGGAAAAAAAATAAGCAGGACGAAGACGTAGTTAAGGAACTTAAGCATTACGATACTTTGTAAGGGTTTTTATTATTGATATGGGCACACTTAAATGTAGATAAATTGCATAAATTAAATATAACACGATGTTCCTTTAGATGTATGAAATTTTGATAATTTTGTATCATCACGTAATGTATACAAGAAAGGAATTGTCCATTTTTGATATACAGTTATGGGCAAGCACCGCCTGGATGGGTGCAAGAAGAAAAAGAAAGACCGGAAGATTGCATTCCCGATTTACCAGAAAATCAAGCTGCTCGTGAATTTTTGGCCAAAGCGCCTACAAAAGGATTATGGATGCCTTTAGGAAAGGAGGTGAAAGTTATGAAATGTAAGTCCATTTACTCTAAACATTTCCCATTATCATCTATCATTGATGATGGATGATATGTTTTTCTTTTTTTGTTTTGTTTTTACTTTTTGTATCAATAATTTTGAAATGACTTCATCGACAAAATTAACATGTAATTTGTAGAAATAATTAACATATATAATGTTATAGTTTAAATATTTATTATTTCATGGATATCTAAACTATATAGATTAAATATGCTTACTATTGTATTTTTCAAATAGCAGGCAAGCTTCGAAACCAAATTCGTTTAATGAGAGTCGTGGGCACGATTTTATCTCAGACATTACCAAGTATGGGCAATACTGTCTGATATATCAAATAAGTATCTTTTAGTTCTCTCTTGTAAAGAGGAAAACACTAATTTTACATACTATTTAAGATGCTATTCCAAAAATTAAAAATTTTTGTCATTATTGTAAATCATTTGGCACAACAAGAGATACATTTCAGAGAGCCGAGAGTTGTTCTGAGTTCTTTCTTTTAAAGATTTTCTTCGGCAGTTGTTTAAAATTCTCTGTTCATTTTGAATTTGCTTTTATGTTGATAACTTACAACTTTAACAGTAGAGGAGAATGTGGTATTATGGAACCCCAATTACATTTCAGTGAATTGTAAACAAGGTATCATAACTACACCCACATTTTTTGTGCGAAAAGTACTGGTAACTAGTAAACTAAATGTTCCTAATTGGATTTTTCGCTAGTGTAATTATAAGTATGGTTTTTGAAGGCTTTTGTACAAAAAGTCCGAAAGTAGGCTTAGAGAAAATCGGGTGGTAATATGGAACCTTACTGTATATTTTCAAAAAAATGCTTTAATGTAGCCAAAAACAAATAGGAAA